ATGAACTGCAAGAATTTAGTGCTTTACAGGCTGTCCTGAATCTATAAGGGCCATTCCATTTCATCCTCCTTTTTATTAAATAGATTTTCTTTTCATAGTAGGTATAAAGAAAGTTGAAGAGAAATATCTTTTTTTTAATAATTCCTGTGCTGAGTTTGAGTACTTTCATGTATTCATTTAAAAGAAAACAAAAATTTGAAAAAATAAATTGGATTAGGTCACCAAAGTAAGTTAATATCAGAAAAACTGTGTTATTAAAATTTTTTTAAGAATAAGAATCCTTTCTTTTACAGTGAATGACTGTTTCCTCAGGAAAAAGAACTGAAAACTGATTATCTCACAAGATTTAATGGAACAGTCTCATGAAATGTTTTCTCACAAAAAATTCTTACTAAATCATTGAGTATACTAAGCCTGTCTGTAAAATTGAAAAAAGCAGCTGAGAGAACACAGTTCCAGAATTGTAGCTTCCCCACTGTTCTTGGCTTTACACGTTTCCATGCTATGGCTGACGTTGTCTGATAATATCCTGATATGTACATATGACAGATGAACTGCTGCACGCTTTCATGTGTTGCTCTGGACATTTAAAAACAGAGAAGATACTAAATTGCAATGTGCAATTGAAATATTTCAGTACAGCCTTCATGAATTCAGGGCTACTTGTCATATAAGGCATTAAGCAGATCCCACTAGGGGCGTTGAAGCCATTGACAATTGCTAGTCTTAAAAAAGGGGTAGATTAACTCATCTATGCTCTCTGGGGCCTAATGGTTTGGCAGACTGATGATGCTGCAAGACTCTCAGACATAAGGTAATTGCCTCTTTCTCTTTTTATAATATATATCAGCCATTACGTGTTAAGTAATGTACCAGTAATAATCTATCCTTCTCCTCCCAGACTTAATGTGACCAGGTATTATCCTGTACAGGATTCTTTTTTCTCTTAAAGGTTGCAGATTTGCTTTGTGTCAAATTAAGATCCTTGCTCTTTTCAGCTAGTACATCGTATTCTGTAGTAGGCCCGTATGAGTCCCTACTATGTTCACTGTTTTTAGCCTTTTTTCACTCTTATGTCTAAGAGGAGGAAACATTAGACAAACTAAAGTAATTCGTGGGAAAATATTAATAATGTTGTCCATTCCATAATTTTACTTTCTACACAACAAAAGTCTACAGTAACTGCACAATGAATGGGTCCTTATAAGAAAACACTTTGTCACAGTGCAGTCTCCTACTATCATAGGCTGAAAATAAACTGATCCTCTTCTGGATTAAAAATTTTCTCTCTTATGTATTGGATCTTCACTTTATGCTCAAGACTGGAAAACTTGCTCATTCTTCAATGCAGATGCTTTGTTTACTTTCTTACCACTTTTCTTTTGTGTATAAGACTGCTTAGTAAAATTTACAGAATTATACAAAGATTATCCCTTTCTCAGAACAAATTATAGAAGAAGAAAATAGAACAGGTCTAAAAGGTGCAAATAAGTGAAGGAAATTGCAGACATCTTCCTCGCAGACATGACTTTCCTCAAATTCTTCCATTTCACAGTTCACTTCAAAGTTTTCCTTTATCTGTTTATGTCACCGCCTAGCCCCATTAGAGATTCCTTCTATCTTCTTCCCATGGCAGTGAAAAAAAAAGTGCTTAATTTTAAGTGCCACCGCTGTGGCATCTGACTACCCCAGGAAGGCTTGACTTATGTGATGGATTCCACCGTTTGGAGAAGATCATGACATTCAGAACAAATGGAGCTTTTTGTCCTTTTTATATATTCCAAGAATGTTTTCTAGAGATATTAAGAAAATGGGAGAATGAGATTGCTGAGCTTTTCCATAAAGCAGGAACCAGAAAAGATCCGTGCATTCAGTGGCATTGCCGTTCTCTTTTTATTTCAAACATCACTAGCAGAATGAGGAATATGTGCTGAGTGTGTCAGCACAGCTGGAGTCCCTTTGTAGAAGGAACTGGGAGAAACCGAGCTTCAGGCAGAGCCCATACCAGGATAAAGAGAATTGCCTCTTCCCAGACCCCTTAGTTAAACAGAATGAAGGATATTTGCATTGCCTAACCTTATGATAGCACTGCTAAAAATACATTCACATCTCAGATATTTCACTGGTTAACCTCTGTTCCTACTGAAATCCCTATTCTGTGTCTTTCAGCACAGCGCTGTTAAGTAGGTCATTTATCATTATTGTTTTCACAATGAAAATTTGGTTTATTTATTATCTTTTTAAGAGGTTCTGTTTATCCAGTCACTCATTCCCACCCTCCTAGCAGACATTTTACCTCCACAGTCATTGCTTATTGGTTTATTGGTTATTGATTTAAGTTTACAAGCACAAATGAGTAAGTGACCTTTCAGAAGTTTTGTTAATATTAACTCCTCTGGCGACATTAAAAACTTCACTTTCCTGTCCTCTATCCACCACATCCCTGTGTCCCATGTAATTTGAAATATTTTCCAAGGCCTGAAACCATGCAGTCACATGTTCCCCTGTCACTTATTACTACTAGTGCCTACAACTTCCCTGTAACTCTTCAAAGTTCAAGGACACTCATTCACTTAGTGTCCCATCTGTCTAAAACTTATTTCCTCTTCTCCCTGAGTCACTGCATCATTTCTTTAAAGCTCACCTTACAACATCCTTGCTCTCTTTAACCTATGATTCACTATCCCTGGAAAACATTTTTGTGATATCCTTTATGAAGCATGCACTATAAAAAGGAAATTTATTGTAGTCCTGTTGAAGTAAGCTATGCTTGAGGTACTAATGGGATTGAGGATTGAGGGTCCTACAAGGCCACTCAAAATAGGTTGACCCTTGCAGAATCACTTGAAATGTAAGCTTTTACATACACTCACCTGAAAACCTCCTAACTGCATCCTTGTAAGCTTATAGGCTGTTGTCTTAACCTTTTTGTTGCCTTAGAACTCATTACTTAACTCCTGAAATCCCACTGAGTTTTGTCCAGGTTTGTCAGGATGCCTGTTCTCGGCCCATTAAAACTGAAAAGGAAAAGCATGCAGTTCCCTTATCTCTCCCTCCCATGACTGGTACCATTTTCCATATCCTAACTTCAGATATTCTCCAAACAGAGCAGTGGAGGATGAAAGTTTTATCCCTGTTTCCTTTTCTGATTAATCTATTATAGGTAGTAGACTCAGATGTCTTTTACAAAATCTTAGTAATATAAACAATTCCACCCTAGATCCGTTATATCTGATTCAACAAGAGGATGCAGGGAGGCAAAGTCACAAAGCCAGATGGGCTACACAGTGCGGGTGAGGGGGAGCTCTAAGAAAACATATGTGTGAAAATTAGTAGGATGGTGTGGTATAAATGGCATCATCCAGAAACTCATGTGAACAGTACCTATTTATATGGCTACTATTCCTCCTCATTCACGATGCACTCATCACTGTAGCACATAATTTTCTGTACTCCTATTGAAAAGGCCATGTAAATCTAGCTCTTTTGTTTAGCCCAGCTAAGTGCTTTATGCTCATTTTCCTTGGAATGGTCTTCTACTCTCTAAAAACAATAATAAAAAAACCAGCTTTTAATATTCTTGAATTTGAAAGCACGTGAGTTTCTTTTTAATAGCTGACTGAAAATTGTGCCTAAAAATATTAAAAATTTCATTTTCATTCTTTTTATTAAACTGAAATTTGCTTAAATTTTGGGTTTTATTTTCAAGACTTTTGTAGGGATCACAAACGGAAGAAGCAAACTCCAGTTCACATTCACACGACTCCCAGAGTTTGGACTTAACAGAAATACTCCAAATACTTAAGACTTGGAATATATTTTCAGTGTTGGTAATATATGCTTTGGATGATATTAAGTTAAGTGTGTATGCACAAACACATTATACATGTGGCACAAACTCTGTACATATAGAAAATCAGAGATGTAGAAACATAGACACAAATATTAGTGTATTACTGTTAACATCATACTACCAAACTGTGAATGGGTTTCAGAGGTACAAGGGAAGCCTTTATATCTCCTGAGTGATTAATGGTATAAGAGGGAACACTATTCAAGGATTCAGGCTTTGCAGAAGTGGCTATGGATTCAGTGGAGCTAATTCATTCCTCTTTGACATGAGAACATGGTTATGTATGGGCAAACTTTTGGACTGCTGTCTGTGTCTAAGGATTCTACGGCATTTAACCGAATTAGCAGTTAATATTGATAGAAATATTGCTACAGATATCTATTTCTAATAAAAAGGGTTCTGAACAGTGGCTTTGAGGTTTAATTGTCATTCTTTCTTTATAGACCTAGAAATGGTAAGAAAAAAAACCCAGAAATTCAGGCTTTCATTAATACTGTATTATACCAAAGAGTACAGCAGTTCTGAGTCTGTGTGTGAAAGGCAATTGAACGAGGAAAAGAAACAGATTAAAAATATAAAGATTCGTACGTGAGTCCTTATTTTTATTCTGGAGCACTCAGTTTTAACTGTCATAACCCCATTTCTTACCATACGCCCATACTTCATTTTCAGCTCAGATCATAATTTCTTGGAGGGAAGAAGTGCTTTCTTATTCGTAACAAGTAGGTACTCCACTAACATTTGTTAATAACTATAATGAATAACTATAATAAATCACGGATCTGTTGGGAAGGTCCAGTGTATCTAAGTTATGGCTAGCATTCTTTGTAGCTCTAGATCCCTGTCATGAAGAGTTCTGTAATTCTTTAAAATTGTTTCACTTCTTTAAAGTACAAGTGTTAATGCAGTTTGTGATCATATACATTTTAAACTGTTGTAGGTTGTTACCATTTAATTACTGAAGGTACCTCAAAGGCATAATAAGTGGATGTAAAATATGTACAGAAGTAGCTTAAACCAAGGTAAGATTTCTGTTTCATTCATAAGCAAAAGAGAAAAGAGTTTGGAACTCTTTTCTTTTTCTTTTCTTTTCTTTTTTTTTTTTTTGCCATGCTTATGAAAACAAATAAATAAAATGAATACTCACTCCTGTTATGTAACGAGGTCTATACTGGATGGTTCCAAATAAGCCAAGTATGACTATAATAATGTGTATAAAATTTGCCAGGATAGGTGCCCACTGATAACCAAGGAAGTCAAATATCTGTCTCTCGAGCACAGAAACCTATGAGTAAAAAGTAAAAGAATAAATAGATTAGAACAGACCAGAAGACATCTATTAGGACGTTTCCCCAACCCATAACAAAAGTAACTGAGTTAAAAAATACTTCAGTCAGCAGTAGAATGAAATGATTTTGCAGTGTTTCTCCTTCTTGTTTTAATGAAAGCAGCATTTTCACTGGCAGTTTACTGAGTTCTATTCAGTTAGCTCAAATATCCGTGTGGTCGGTTCTACCAAGATACTAAACTCCGTTCACTAAGATGTTGTGCTTGCAGCAGGAGACACACAAGTAATTTTGTTATGTACGCTGGCAAATACTATAACCTCCTGGTACTGAAAATAAGTGCTGAGCTTATGACATCTCCTCAGCTACTTTGCATCCATCCACGAACACCTTCCTGCAACCTACTCCCGTCTAATTCCTCTACCTTTTGGCTTTTCTCTTCTCTCTACCCGTGCTATCCTGTTAGTAGGCTTTTGCCTTTATCCAAGTGCATACTACTCTTTGATGAGTCCAGTTCTCCTTCTCCCACTGCTGCAAACGACATCCAAGTATAAACTGTTACCCAAGGCTCAAGATACTTCATTGTTAGATGTCAATTACGAGACAATCTTGGGTTGCTGATGACTATTTTTAAGAAAGACTGTTCCAAGCAGATAGGTCACCAGAAAAAACCCCTATATTTCTAATAGTGTCAGTAGAAAATATTTCAGAATATCAAAATGCAGCAACCAACTCCTAGGCAGGATGGCATTTTTTGGTCATACTAATATTGAGGGGAACATTAGAAGGGATGTAACAGGGAGGTGAAGTTCAGCAGAAAGGGCAAGAAGTTTTTCGGGTACCATTCCAACAACACTTTCACTAACCAGAACTCTGAGCAGATGAGTTTCACAAAAATGTATAGTAATGATAACTAATAAAAACACAAAAAAGAAGAAAAAGAAGGCTATTTCCATATAAAGTTTCATTAAATAATAGATGACTATTTGCTTGGTTTATATTACACAGCAGATTAATTAAATTAGGTGTACCTGTCACACACTTCTTCATTCACTTAAGAGTTAACACCTCCTTTTTGCGATCAGTACTAAATGGGTACTAGCCCACATGTTCACCACACAATTTAGCTATGGGAGAGTTTTTCAACTTCATGCAGCAGTCCACTGTCACACCAACAATTTCTTTTTGAAATTAATCTAGATTTGCTATTAAAAAGACAGCCTACACTTGCACCATCATTGCAAATGTGAAACAAGAGTGTTAATAATGCTGACACATGCTGCAGTTTAAGACAGGGTTTCCCAAAATAACCGTAAGGAAGTTTGTCAGTCATAGCCTATTGAATTTCAGGCTGATTTGAAAGTTTAGGGTTTCATGTCAGCCACTGAATTCCTCTCTACAAAAAAGATTGCTTTTATGCAGTACTGCCAGATAACCAGTCTTGATATTTTGCCTAGCACAAAGAGACCCTTTTCCTGCATCATGCAGGATCTTAATGAACTGATTTGTAACATCACATACCTCACCTTTAGCAAAGCAACATTATAGAAGAATTCCCAAAATCCCAAGGCATAGTACTATAACTGCAACAATGGGGTGAAGGAAGGATAGAAAGGCCAAGCTGTATTCCGAAT